CTCAGGTAAACATAGGAAAAGAAGTTTTTCACCCAAATCAGACATTACCTCTTAAGCTGTGTTTGAACTTATCCACATGGATCTGTTTGGCCCGTGCAATGTCACTAGTTTGGGGGGGGGGGGGGGGGGGGGGGGATTATGTGTTTGTCTTGGTAGATGACTTTTCCAGGTATACTTGGGTCTACTTTCTTACTCATAAAGATGACACTGTTCATACTTTCAAAACTTTTTGTTGCTTTATTTGCTGGAAAAATTAGATCTATTCGCAGTGATAATGGTGGGGAATTCATATCTGATGAATTCGAAACCATTTGCAATGAGGCTGGGATCTTACACACTTTTTCTACCCCTCGCACTCCCCAACAAAATGGGGTAGTAGAGAGGAAGAATCGAACTCTAATTGAGTGTGCACGTACTATGCTCCTTGAGTATAATCTGCCTAAGTTCTTTTGGGGAGAGGCTGTGAATACAGCTTGTCATGTTTTGAATCGTGTCCTTGTTCGTAAAGGTCTTGATAAAACTCCCTACGAGATCTTTAAATCTAAAACTCCTAATATCTCGTACTTTCATCCTTTTGGATGTTGCTGCTATATCTTAAACACTAGAGATAAGTTAGGAAAATTTGATTCAAAGTCTGATAAAGCTATTTTCCTTGGATACTCGGTCAAGGGTCAAGCTTATCCCGTTTATAACAAACGCACTAGAAAGGTTGAAGAATCGGTTCATGTAATTTTTCATGACACTGACTTACCTGAAAGTGCTACAGCTGATAGTGTTCCTATGTTTGATTTACTTGAACTACCTCACAGATCAGAAGAGCAAAACGATCCTCCAAGTCAGACTACCTCTACAACTCCACCATTGACTCACACCTCACCTCCCGACACAAGCTCACGTGATGATCTCACTCCTGTTGAGACAGTACCAGCTGCACCTCCACACATTCAGCGACGTCATCCGGTAAATCAAGTCATTGGTGAACTAACTGATGGATTGCGTACCAGAGGTAGGTACAAACCAGGTCAGTATGCATTCATTTCTCAGCATGAGCCCAAAAATTACATAGAAGTTTTAAAAGATGAATACTGGAACCTTGCTATGCATGAAGAAATGAATCAATTTGAGTATTTACATGTTTGGGATCTAGTGCCTCGTCCTTTGAATCAATCTATCATTGGTACTAAATGGATTTTCAAAAACAAATCTGATGAGGATGGATTCATTACGAGAAATAAGGCTCGTCTAGTTGCCCAAGGGTATTCCCAAGAAGAGGGAGTTGACTACGACGAGACCTTTGCCCCAGTTGCTCGTATTGAGTCTATCCGTTTGTTATGTGCGTTTGCCTATTTTATGAACTTCCCTCTATTTCAAATGGACGTCAAGAGTGCTTTTATAAACGGGGTAATTCAGGAGGAAGTGTACGTTTCACAACCACCTGGTTTTGTTGATCCAAATTTTCCTGACCATGTTTACAAGCTCAGGAAAGCGCTTTATGGTCTCAAACAAGCTCCACGAGCTTGGTATGAGCGCCTTACCTCTTTCTTATGTGAACAAGGTTTTTCTCAAGGATCCGTAGATAAAACCCTTTTCATTAAACATGATTCGTCTGATCTTTTACTAGTTCAAATCTATGTAGACGACATTGTGTTTGGCTCTACCAATTTTAAGATGTGTTCTGATTTTTGTGAGGCTATGAAAGAAGTGTTTGAGATGAGCATGATGGGAGAACTTCAGTTCTTCCTCGGCCTTCAAATCAAACAGACTAGTCATGGAACTTTCATTAATCAATCAAAATACATCTCTAGTATGCTGAGCAAATTTAATTTCCAATCCTTGAACTCTGCTCCCACGCCTATGGCTGTTAATTTAAAGCTCGACAAGGATGAGACTGGTACTCCAGTTGATGAATCCATGTACCGTGGAATGATAGGCTCTCTCCTATACCTTACTGCAAGTCGGCCAGACATTCAATTTAGTGTATGTATCTGTGCCCGCTTCCAATCTTGTCCCAAAGAGAGTCACCTATCAGCAGTTAAAAGGATTTTTCGTTACTTAAAGGGCACCTTAGATGTCGGGTTATGGTACCCAAAGCAAAACACTTTCAACTTAGTGGGCTATAGCGACTCTGATTTTGCTGGTAGCTTAACAGATCGTCGTAGTACCACTGGAAGTTGTCAATTCGTGGGTACTTCCTTAGTCTCCTGGTCGTGCAAAAAACAGGGGGCAGTTGCTTTATCTACTGCTGAAGCAGAATATATTGCTGCTGGGAGTACTTGTACTCAATTGCTTTGGCTGTCTTATCAATTAGTAGATTACGGCTATAATTGCTCGTCAATACCCTTGTTTTGCGATAATACCAGTGCCATCTGCATGTCTAAGAACCCGGTTCAGCACTCCCGAACCAAGCATATTGAGGTTAAGTATCATTTCATTCGAGACTTGGTTCAATCTGGTGCTATTTCTCTTCAATATATCAGCACTGAATTTCAGCTCGCTGACCTATTCACTAAGCCTTTATCAGCTGATCGATTTACTTTCCTATGTTACGACATAGGATTGCGATCCTTGACAGCCCTGCCAGAGTAAGAGGAATCGTGCAATCGATTCTTTCCTGTTGTATTCTTTACCTTCTGTTTTTGGTTAATTTCTCTTGAGTAGTTCTGTTTGATTTTAGTTGCCTTGTGTGTTTCTGATTTTCGCTGATTTGTGTCGTTTGATCTTTATTTCCTTGGCTGGGTCTGTTTAGTGTTGTTAGTGTTGATTGATTTTTCTTGCCTTTTCTTCTTTCCTTTCCTTCCGTTTTGGTGCTTTCGTCTAGCCTTTTTAAGTCTTTCCTGTGGAGCTTTTCCCTGCATCCGACCCTGTCCTTTCGACTCCCTTCTATTCCCTAGCAACCATGGCTTATGCTCTTGCCCTCACTTTCTCTGGTACTCTTTTTCATGAGCCGATTCCTATCAATTTCCACCGCCATTCCCAGTCCTTTGCCTCTCGCCAGATTTCTCCATCTCGTGACATTCCCCTGCCTGATTTCATTGACCTTGGTCTTGATTTCCGCCATCTTGTAAACAATCATGGCTGGGGATTCCTTCTCGATGATGCTCCCACCCTGGTGTGCCCTGGTGCAGTTCGATTGTTCTACTCCAATCTGCGCCACTTTGGTCTTCACTCTCGCACCTTGACTTCTCTGGTGGTTGGGCACCTCATGACCCTGTCGGTTGTTGACATCGGACATCTTCTTCAGTTTCCTGATATCGGAGAAAATCTGGCTGATGTCTCTGAATTCGGACTGTTCAACTTCAATCTCGCCGAAGAAGCTGAACGTCTCTCAGGGTTTCTTCCTGGACCAGATGGTACAATTCCCTCAGCGGTACTGCTTCCTACTCTGCAGGTTTTTCATTACTTTATGACCCGAGTGTTCTTACCTCGCCCAAACTTGCTCGATCGGATCACTCCTCTGGATGTTTGGATTGTGAATCATGCCATCGCTGCTGTTCCTCTTGACTATTCTCAGCTGTTCTTTGGGGCTCTCATTCCTTTTGTCGATCATAACTTTTTGGCCCCGCTTCCTTTTGCGGCTCGCATCACTCAGCTCTTGTTAGCCCTGCCTCTATCTCTCTCCTGGTTTCGCACAGAGTCTCCCACCCTGTGGCTCACTGCTGATAACGTACTTGACGAGCTGGAGATTGCGATTGAGGGGGAGGAGTTTCCTATCAATGTTATCTGGATATCTGATTCAGACTCTGATTCAGATTCAGACTCCGATTCTGGTGATGCAATTCTGGAGCCGTTTGCTGTTGCTCTTCAGGAACTCTATGGATCCGATACCGAGGAAGATCTCCTTTAATTTTTGTGTTAGCTTCTCAGGGGGAGTTTTGAGAGTTGCTGCTGTGACAGTTATGCTTGGTTGTTTGTTTCGAGCTCAGAAGCTTTAAGCTGTTGACTGGTTTGTTTTTGCCACGTGATTGAATGTTTTGGTTGTGGAAATCTTTCGTGTTCTCTCGTGTGGTTCTTTTGCTTGTATTTCTCTTGCAGGTACATCGGCAATCTCAATCTCCAACTTAGGGGGAGATTGTTGACAGAAGCGCAGCAGAAGTTGGAGATTCATATTGGTTCTGACCGTTGAGGAATCAGAGGATTCAGAATTGGAAAGCCCAAGAAGCACATTCCTTTTCTGGAAAGCAACGGCTACTTTTGGTTCTATATATTGAGTCTTTCCTCCTCTGTAAAAAGTATTTAGAAGAATAGTGGCATAGGACTATTAGCACTTCTGAGGGTTCAGCAACTGATGGTATAGGAATCAGTTGTTGGTGGAGTTTAACGAATCTGGGTTGGATTCGGGTTGATCTCTTCACTGTATTTATCTTGTTATCTTGCTGTTTTGTTCAATAGGAAAAATCAATAAAAAGTGTCTCTCGGAGTATAGCAAGTGCTAACTCCGGGACGAGGACGTACCCGTAGCTTGGGGAACCTCGTTAAATTTTATGTGTTCTTTATTTTTCCCTCCTTCGCCTCTGTTTTTGTTTCAGCTTCTCTTGCTCTGTTTTCGGCAGTGGCTCTGCTTCTAAGAAATTTGTCCAAGGAAGAAGAAGAGACCATCGAAACAGATCTAAGATCACAGTGGGCTTAACTGCTTCTTAGCCCAAGTGTGTACTGGCTCCTTTCCTTTAGTCTGTGGACTTTCTTCTATTCTACTTGTGGGCTGAGGTCACTTAAGCCCATTTCGCTTCCATCAGTAGAAGAAGCCTCTGCAGTCTCCCTTTGTCTTTCATTTCTGTTTTTCCCTTCTTCCTCTTCGATCAAAAGGAACGATAAACAAAATCCCTAAAAATCTCCGATTGACCTTCTGGTTTCAAATCCTACATTCACCCAATCGCGATCTCGTCAAAGAAATGCTTTTTCAGAAGCCCACGTCGTTATCGTCTTCATCCAAGTCGCCGAAGAAACAAAACTAATTACCACGCACTCCAATTCTCCAAATACCATGCAAAAGGACCGTTGATGAATTTCCCGTAATTTGATTGCTCGCAATTGACTGGTGCAGTCGGGCAGTTGCAAAGGGAAAGCAGAAGAATTAATCCAAATACATGACGATAAACTTGGGCACACAATTATGGGATTAGTGTCGGAACCCTCTATAACTTAACAATCCAACAGAACTACCTGCTACCGAAAAAGAAGATTCCAGTTCTAGTCTAGAAACACAACCCTACAGGTTAAAGATCCTATGTACTACTAAACCCAACAAGCCCTGACAACAATACTGGCAAATATAACATCAGAGAAGCCTTAAAACATGAACCCTAAACCCAACTTAAAAGCTTCACACAACTAAACAGAGGTGCCCTAGTTCAAGCTTGATAGAAGCTAGACAAGAAAGATAAATAACAGCAAGCTCTCTCTCTCTCTCTCTCAATCCTTGCTGGTCTTGTTGATGAGAGACTTGTGGATGTGAGGGATGACCCCACCACCAGCAATGGTACCTTTGATGAGAGTATCGAGCTCCTCATCCCCTCGAATGGCCAGCTGCAGATGCCTGGGCGTGATTCTCTTCACTTTCAAATCCTTGCTTGCATTCCCAGCAAGCTCGAGAACCTCAGCAGTAAGGTATTCAAGGATTGAGGCCAAATACACGGCAGCAGTAGCTCCAACTCGACCATGAGCAGCAATCCTTTGCTTGAGATGGCGATGGATTCGTCCAACAGGGAACTGGAGGAAGAGATGAAAAAAAAAAAAAATCTCAGAATCCCACAAGGTTTTCACAGTAAAGACTCCATTTACTTACATGAAGGTAGACAAAATTCATTTTTGAGAAACTTAAGTCACCGTCGCAAAGCTAGAATCATTGCGACCTTTCACCACAGAACAAGTGTGGAAGGCAGTGGTGCTGAGCTTTAGTGCAGGCAGGTGATGAATCATTCAATCAACAATGATCCTTGTGCTTGGAAACGAAATCGCACAAGGGAAAGCATTCAGAGACACAGGAAGCAAACAAAAATACAGAATATACACAATCCCACATAGCATTTCTGGGTCAAACTACATCTCCATGGCAGTGAGGAGAGGAATATTCCAAGGAAAACAAACCCACAAAGAAAGCGTTTACCTTCCCTTCATAGAACTGTAAGCAGAATCCTAACATACAAACACATTAAAGCACAGCTCAAAAAGCAACCAGGCACAGCCACAGATTCAACAACTCTAAGCCTACCAAGTTCTGGTAAACAGGTAAATTCTGCAATTTGACAGTTGAACATTTTCCGTAAACAGAGCAACAGAGTAAACTACGTAGAACAAGGGAACCAAGAGGTTTATTTTCAGTTCACCTGGATACCAGCGCGAGAAGATCTGGAGGTAGGCCTCTTTTTGTCCTTATCCTTATCTTTGTCCTTGTTAGAGGCGGTGGTCTTCCCTGCCAAAAGCCCTTTTCCTCCTTTTCCTGCCATCTGCGTCTCACCAAAACAAGAGTTAGATTTAGGGTTTCCAACAGGCATTCAGCAGCAAGGAATTGGACGTGTTAAACATAGAGCAACCCATGAAGTCCGGAACAATCAAAAGAGATCCGCCGGAAATTAATTCCAGTTTTTACTGTCAGGCGAGTATGGGCTCAGAGAATTTCAGATCTGGGGCCATGGAAACTCGAAAGACAGAGGGGAGAAGTGAAAAAGACACAGATAGAAACAGTGCACTTCACCTTAACCAGCGACTTGGATCCGAGGAAGAAGAAGAAAAAGAGGAAAAGGGAGGGAGAGCGGAGAACAGTTGCCGCAGATGAAAAGAGAAATACCGGTGTGTTGGGGTTATTTTTGGGTTTTAAATATGTAGGGGGATTTCGAATTTCAGGAAAACGAAATAAAGAGCGGTTTAGTTTGAGACTTTGGTGGGAAAATCCAAATTTTTGGAAATTTCGAAAATTTTCCTTTGCCGAGTAAATAGTCATGTTTGCCGTACAAGTTACAACGGAAGAGAAGACAATTGGTTGTTATATCAGTTAGGGTTGGGCATGCGGGTAGGGATGGCAAAAATATCCGTAACCGTGGATATCCACCCGAATCCGACCTAATCGGGTAGGGTAAAACCCGAACCCGAAGCATTTTTTGTGGGTACGGGTAAAAGCCGAACCCGAATATTGCGGGTAATGGGTGGGCATGGTTATCTCACTATCCAATCCGAACCCGCCCGATTATACACATGCATATGTATTTTGTCTAGAAATAATCATTATTTTTCCCTAGAATATTTTATATTTAGCATATAAATATAATATTTTCATGAAATTGTGTTGTTTTAATTAATTTTCGTCATTCTAGTGAATTATTGTCGTACTTTTCCTCTTACGTAATGTGAATATACGTGTGAATGTTAACATATTGGTTGGAATTATAAGGAGAAATTATTACCCATGGATAACCGTGGATACCCGAAACCCGAACGGGTATGGGCATGGTTTTGATTTTCTACCCATTTCTCGTGTGGGTACGGGTATGGGTAAAACCCGAACTACATTGGGTAGGGTAACGGATATGCACTATCCGCCCCCGACCCATTGCCATCCCTACATGCGGGTAGATCACCCGCGGGTTTGGACCGACCCATTCTCATTTGATCCGAATTTTGTTATGTGGATGGACATGTGGGTGAGTGACGAGTTGCGCTGGGGTCTGGGAATCATCCCCCGGGTGACGGGTGGATTGTGCGCGGGTGACCCAGAGACACACAAACTTCACCCAAATTTGGTAAACCGGGGGGGGGGGGGGGGGGACCCCATTCAAAATCGTCTAGTTTGACCAGTCGATCGGCCATGGTAAAGAGGAGTAGGGGTGTACATGGGTCAGGTGGTTCGGGTTTAGCCATTTTAATCACCCGACCCATACGCTACGGTTTGGGAAATATTAAACCCACCCAAAAAAATCTAAACCTTGCGGTTTGTTTCTAATTGGGTTGGGTCAGGTTGGCGATATTTTTAAGTAAAACCCCATCCCAACACAAAATATGTAATTATTATACACCATAAAAATATTTTATAACTAATTAAAATTCAAACGAATAAACCGAGGTGAAATGTATCAAAATTCACAAATGTTCTGTGAATTTTAATAAAATGTGATTTACTTCAAAATATGTCTAGTTTTTTCCACGACATTTGTTGAAATAAGCTAAAAAAGTTATAAATGAATGCATCCACAATATGTTATTCTATTAAAATTGTACACAAGAAAAAGGATTACATGAATCATAGCTATATTAAATTTATGTCTAAACTCTAAGCCAAAGAATGCATTAGATTAGGAGACCATGAGAGAAAAACATGGCAAAAAATCTTAACTTTCTCATAAGCATGGCTATATACGACATAAATCATTTTTGGATACGCACTCCTACCAATAGTTGGAAAAAGGGTTGGGTCAGGTTATACGGGTTGTGTAATCCAAAATCCAAACCCAACCCAAAAGAGGTAGGTTGTACAAAAGAAAACCCTCACCCAACCAAAAACTTTCGCTTTAGCGATAAATACGAGTGGGTTGGGTCGAATTGGACGGGTGGGTCGGTTTACGGGTGTGTTTGTTCACCCCTAAAGAGGAGAGGGGATGAGTCGAGCCTCAGCGGCAACGTTATTCTTCTCGTCTCAGTGGCATACCTATATCTAAATCCCTAACTCTCTTCTTCTCACGACTTCGACTCTTCTCCCTTAATTCATCCTCCAATCCAACTAGCCCGCCCTAGTATCACAACACCGGCGACGACCTACGCTTCATCTTTTCTTTCACTGCCAGCAGGGGAATTGACTCGCTCTAAAATAGTCTCTCAATCAACGGCCAAATATAACAAATCAAAAGATGTAGTATAGGAAAGTAAGTAATAAATTGTCAACTCGAGGCACTAGGTCTACTATTATTTCGTAAACCGATATATTATTTAGCTAGCAAGTTATGATGTAGATTAACAAAGCAAAGTAAATTGCTTCGAATTCAAAGATGAGAAACCACTCGGGGATGACTCCTCCTAGTTCCTCGTTATGTCAATGTTGTTTACTTCCCTAGTTAGATTGACTCGATACTTTTACCTCAAAAAGTCCCAAATTATCTTGGAATCTTTACAAAAGCAAACCAAGCCCTCTTGACTTAGACTACTTGGTTGGATAGTATCCTCAACCAAAATAGACTACCAAGGAAATACTGAAAAGACCCTCGCTACTGGATTGAAGTCCATTACAACGCAGTGAATCAACCCCCTCTCGTGTTACTGATTCAGCACGTCCAATTGAAGGGCTATATTTACCTTATAAGGTTCTCTATCCTAGGTCACAACTCAATTGAAAGAGTGTGATTAAGACTCATGCAATTCCTCAATATACCAAAATTAGATAAAGAGTAAAGAGTTCAAAAATCATATGGCTCAAACAACAACCAATATAACAAATGAAACTAGGATCCCTCACACAACTGAGTGAGAAAATACTCCATAGAGATGAAGGAAAACACAAGAGAATTTGCAGCCATTATCGTGTAGAAGTTTGAAACCATCTTATGCTCATCATTTGTCACCTCTCGGTTATTGGGTTGAACTTCAATCTTAGTTGTATGGCTCTAGAAAGCTTTAAGAATGAGTTCTTCATCACTTCTCTCTTTATGCTCTTCTCAACTTATATTTTAGTCTAAAATTAAATCCCATTTGCAATTTCCCGTCAAATCATTTTATCCTCTATCTTGCCCAACTCACAATCTCAAGTCAGAATCGTACATCGACTCAGGCCGTGACATCGACTCCAAACGTGTAGCATCGTTGAGCTGGAGTGCAAAAGTAACGGGCGGAGAGATGATGTCACGGTCAAGGCCGTGACTTGTGAATGGTTGATTGTGACGTGAGAAATCTCCTTAGATGCTTGTCGAACATCATGGGTCACAACATCGTGACCTGTTACGCCAGACCATGACATGAGAAATTGTCCTGGATGTTGGTGGAAAGTCACATGCTAGTGTTGATTGTATATGGACCATACCACTTGGACTTGAGTTTCCCAGGAAATAGTCGAAGGCGAGAGTTGCACAGTAGCACTTGATCTCCAATATTGAAATCTTTTATTTACAACCTTGCATCATGGAGTTGTTTTTTGTGTCCCTTGTAAAGTTGTGTACTTTAGTATGAATGAAAGCAAAAGTCCTCCACTTCATGCATCTGGATCGTCCTTTCTTCTCGTGCTATTCCAGGATCCAATTTTTATGATTTGAGAGCCTAGAACGCCTTATGCTCCAATTCCACTTGTTGGTGGCAAGCTTTACCGTACACCATCTGATAAGGCAAGGTATTTGTTGAATTTTTGAAAGCTGTGTGATATGCCCAAAATGCGTCATTAAGTTTAGTTGACCAATCCTTGCAAGACTAATCATATTTTTGGAGGATTTGTGTTATCTCTCGATTTGTGATCTCTACTTGACCGCTTGTTTAGGGATGATAGGTTGTGGATAGTCGATGTGTTACCCCAAATCGAGCACACAATTTTTCAAATTGACCTTGGGAATGAGACCCACAGTTACTCATTATTGCTCGAGGTACTCCAAATCGAGTGAATAGTCGTTGGAGAATCTTTCCGACTTTCTTGGCATCATTAGTGGGGAGGTCTTGTGCATATGATAATTTTGACACACTCAATGACCACCAGGATGCATTTGTTACCTGAAGATGATGCGAAATATCCCATAAAATCAATTTCCCGGACATCAAAGATCTCAATGGGTTGAAAAATGTGTTAAGGAATCTCATCCCTTCGACATATTTTCCAACTCGTTGAAATTTATCACAACTTCTAGCAAATTGATCACAATCTCAAAATAATAGTGGGCCAATAGAATCCTAACTCCAATACTTACCTTGTTGTCCGATTTTCTCTATGGTGGCCTCTTCCCAGGTCGAAATGGTAGTGGTTGATAATATCCTATGCCTCAACTATAGGCACACACCAACGACGAGAGGTACCAAAGTTCTTGATGATATACTGAGTCTCGAATTTGCATCCACCTTCGATAGAAGGTATCAAAGTGCTTGATGGTCTCTAAAGACCACTGTATGGGAGAACATCAAATATGATCAAATTTTTTTGAAGGTAAACAAAATGGCTAACAACTCATTCTCTGTGGTGGTGTAGTTCCTTTGATCATCATTCAAAGTTTTGCTGGCATAGTAAATTGGATGGAACTTCTTCTCTTTTCTCTGTCCAAACATCGCACCAACAACATAGTCACTAGTGTCACACATGAGCTCAAATGGTAGGTTCCAATCCAGAGCCATAAGGATGGGAGAGCTGATGAGTTTTTCCTTCAAGAACTCAAATGCTAGAAGACATTTCTCATCAAATGAGAAATCTATATCCTCCTCCAGAAGCTTAGTCAAAGGTTGAATTATCTTGGAGGAATCTTTGATGAAGCATATTTAGAATCCCGCATGGCCCAGAAAAATTCGTATTGCTTTTATAGGAGACGCTTGTGGGAGAGCAGTTTGTCTCGATCTTTGTCGAATCAACTTCAATCCCTTTGCTTGAGGAACTTATGGCCAAGAACAATCCCTCTGTCTAGGGATGGCAACCAAACCCGAACCCACGGGTACCCACCCGACCCAACCCGGTCAACGCGGGTAAAATTCGTGTTGACGGGTTTTGGGTCGGGTTTGGGTTTAAACCCGTTCACTATTCACCGGGTTGGGTTGGGTTTGGGTTTTGGTAAACCCGACCCGTGGGTACCCGCCCACACATATAATTAATTTTCTCGGTATATTTAATATTTTAAACAACTAATCTTATTTATGTTTGTGGAGACATGTCTAATTTTTTCTTTCTAATGGTGTAGAATGAAGTTTGTGTTATCGAGTGGAGAGTGAAGAAACTTAATTGAAAGGAAGAAGCCTTCAATTAATCATGTTATTTATGGATAATTTATGATTTATTTCAATTTTCTTGAGTCTTCTAGATTGGTGTTGAACAATTTGTATAGTTAATTTGTGATTTGCTTGAATTTTCTAGAATGGTGTTTTAAATATGGATAATTTGTATTGAGAGATTGATAATTGAGTTTAATTTTGATAGGAACTTGTTATTGTAAATTTTTTACGACAAAAACCCTTGGGTACCCATGAACCCGCGGATACCCAGCGGGTTGGGTTGGGTTTGAGTTTTTCAAACCCAGTGGGTTTTACCCCGGGTTTTTTCACGGATAAACCCATGGGTTTGGGTTTGGGTTTGGCAAAACCCGACCCATTGCCATCCCTACCTCTGTCACCATGAAGTGGCACTTCTCCCAGTTTAAGACAATATGTGTCTCCTCGCATTGAATAAGGACCTTCTATAGATTTGATTGACAATGATGAAAGGAATCTCCATAGACAGTGAAGTCATCCTTGAAGTCCCCTAAAACATCCTCTACTAGATTTTCGAAGATCACCATCATGCACCTTTGAAATGTGCTAGGTGCATTGCATAAACCAAAAGGGATATGACTGTAGGCAAAAGTCTTGTAAGGATATGTGAAAATTATCTTTTCCTGATTGTTCGAACTTGGTTTGACTTGTTGATGGGATTAGGACCCCGGTAATCATTTGTTTTGTTCAGTTCAAACGAACCGACCGAATGCCCACCCCTACCTTGCCCCACATCACTACCTGCTTACTTTCATCTTTGAACATTGTTTTCCAGTCGAGAGCTTGCTAGAGATGCTTGCTTCCTCCCATGCATATGTAGTTGATGACTTGGACCCTCTTTCTTCCTTGAAAATAATGAGGACAATGCAGATTTCAAGGGCAACATAGGTGTGTTGAGTAAAAATCATGCACAAGTAGACTGAAAGTAGTTTTCCTGTCCAAAGTACAATCTCCCTATGCACCTTCATTTTCCGCAATTTCATCATCCGACCTTCAAATTCATTATCATTTTCGCCCTCGCATCAATATTTCCTAACTCTATAACATCAGGACATTGATTAATGTATTATGGCATGATTGTATTTGAGTTTTGTCCATTTTCTCCTATGTGGCTCTGAATATCCTAAAACATAAAAAAAAACAAGCATAAAATTGAAAAAATAAGTGAACTAATCTCTTATTTAGATACGGAAATGTGGGTACTATTATGTATAATTAACATTGTATCACTAGTACATGTGGGGAAAGAGGTGTAAGTGAAGATGTAGAGTAGTATATGAATATTCAAAATCAATATTCTTGTCTCCACAATTGCTCAGTATGCACTCCCATCCTTAAGGTAGATCTAAGGTCATCATAGTTAATGACAGGTTTCCCTGACATGAGAGATTTTCAAGAGTAGAGGTCTCTAAACTTGACTAGAAGAAACTGTCTCTTCTCTGTCAAGTCCCATGAGGAGGAGAGGTGTAAGGGACGATGGAGTGTAGTAAGTGAAGGTTGGATGTTGTATCCTTGTCTCCCTTACACAATCGTCAAAACACACTCTTTCCTTAAGATATTCCCTTTGACGGATTTATTAAGAAATTTTAACTGATTTCCACATCATGCAAGACACTCTTTTACAAATACAAATTCAGAACACATTTTTGCAAAATATTTTGAGCCCACAACAGGGTGAGAGTCATTGACACTACACAAATCACATGTCCTAGAAGAATAATCAAAAAGTCAACCAATGTAGTATGAAGTGGAAAAGGAAACATCTCATGGATCAACATCCCTCATAACTCTACACTAGCCTTCATAGGTTGCAACTACCAAGGAGACTAACAATTCAAAGCACATAGAGTAGGTAATAGCAATGGACAATGTACTTGAAGCCTCAAAAATTAAATTTTGGGATACAATGGAATAGTCTCCAAGCACTCACAATATAGGCCAATCATGCGTTCAACAATTTCATTCATCAATTATAATCAACACCCTCACACTTAAGCAAGATATTGTCCTCAATGGATGAAAGATAAAAAGGGTGGAAATAAGTTACCAATACAAGAGGAAAGCTGGTAGGGACTGGGAGTTAATGTTGTTGTTACCCATGTTACTGAAGTGCTTAATGTTGTTCTTCAAACTAACTCTCATATCTCAATAAGGAGTAATGCTGCTAGTTGTGCTGAGATAGTGAAAGGATCATCAACTGGGAGTTATGGAGATCCAAAGTAACAAATTGCTAGAGATAGCTCGCTAGCTTCTCCAAGTAGCTTGTCTCCTTAATGACCTCCAGTAGTAAGCACTAGTCAACAACAAAATATGAAAACTGGGAACTTCAGTCCCCAATCTTCTGGAGGTACTTAAAAGAAAAGGCCAAGTACACCCGTTGTTTCTCATTTGAAGGGAAGGAAATGAAGTTGGGTAGTAAAAATTGTAGATTAAGATCGTGACTTGGAATGCTACAAGGTTCAAGGCTCAAGAGAAGCAGTCTTTATATAATATCAATTGTAGAGCCAAGGGTAATAGAAAAAGAGTATCAGAAACTAACCAAAAAGAGATTTACAGGTTTAGAAATAAAGTAGCCAATAACATCAATGGATTAGGAAAGGTGCGGTTGGATTTGAGACATGATATTCAACTGAGACTCTTGTATCACTTTGATTTTTCATGATATAAACAACTAATTCATAGAAAATTGCAAGTGTTGAAGGAGCATTTTTAGCTTTGGACTACATCATAGAGAAGTTTTGAAATTGCATAGACAATTCGTTCACGAATCATTGTCTCGGATGATATGTTGATAGCTTGTTGGTGCTTGTAGTAGTTGAATATTTAGTTATTTAAAAAACTATATATTATTGTTAATTATTAAATTATTGATTTAAGTTAATATTAAAAATTTCTCCGGCTGCCCACCGTTTCTTTTTCTCTTCCATTATACTTAGGCAAGTAGGTCAATTTGACCCTCAGACTTTTATGATTTGGTCATCCTGATACATGAACGTTATTTTTTGTCATACCGGTATGAATTCATATTTTTGGTAATTTTAGTACATCAACTTAATTCTAATCATATTTGATACACGTCTTTAACAAAAATTAAATATACCATGTCATATTCCACGTGTAATTTGTAACATATTGAAAACTTGTAATTCTAAAAAAATATCCTTAGTTATGTTATGATGCTTTACACCATTTCAAAAAAGGATTAGCCAATAAAAGAAAAATATTTATCTTCTAATCAACTCGACTATTGGTGTCGTGAAATCATAAGTTCTGCAAGTTATCTATAACTCGCTTTTTATTTGATTTAGTTTTTTTCGTTAGTTTCCTTCATCTGAAGTTTTGCATAATTCAATAAAATATTCTAAAAATCCATATATAATCCTATACAAAAATTGAGCAACAATAAAAGAAAGCTCGTATATAATCCTATACAAAAATTTAGCAACAATAAAGGAAATACAATTATTTATGAGATCCATTTTGTAGATCTATTTTAAGTGTCATGTTGCGAATGATGTGACATAGGATATGGCATATACCATTGAAAATTTAATTGTACTTAGAATTACCGAAAATAGTTCATGTATCGTAATGACAAAAAAATATAAATTCATGTATTGATATGATCAAAAGTAACGTTAATGTACGAGATTATCAATTTATGAAAATTCAAGGTTGTATTTTACTTATGAGTAGGCATGGTTCAAGTTAATGTGTACTGGTAGGGAAGTAGCCTTTCATCAACAACTAATTAGTGTTGTATCCGGTCATAATTGAGACTTAGGGCTCGTTTGCTTGTTGAATTTGAAAATAAAAGTTTTTAGTTTTGAAAATCTTTAGATTAATGTTACATTCATTGCATTTTGTATTTGAATTATAAAATTGTTTGTTTAGTTGATATTTTTATTATGAATTTAGATGATTTGTCTAATTATGGATTTTGTTGATTTGGTATTTTGAGCTAAAAATGGTGGATATCCGATAGCCCCATGGATTTGCATACAATGAATTTGCCAAAAAAAAAAACATGATAGTAGAATCCTATTAACAAAGAACACCTTAGTTGATCATATCTCCGAATAGAGAAGGAATTTCCAACAAAACAAACCAAATGATCTAGAGGTGTTAAAATTGCAAACGTATGTTTATAAATGGAATCAAACAACTGAACAAACATGGGAGGTGGTATATATACACGCCATATATGTACAAGCCCACATACTCACCCGATCGATTCACCCGCAGCAACAAGAACAAAACAAAAGCAAAGCATGGCAGAAGCAGAATACATTGACAACACGATACATATAGAAGTAATTAACGAATGAAGAGTGTTTGAGCACAAAAAGAGCATGTGGGGTTCAAGAGCTTCTTGAGACTTCTTCTTCTCCAGATTTAGTATGATTCAGAGGATCCTGGGGCAGTTGATGCTGTGACACGTGATCCGCGGCGGCGACGGGGCTCTGTTTGAGCTCTTGCCGGCGGCAGCGGCCGACCCATCCGATCAGTCCAAACAAATCTCCAGGCGACGACCCGGAAGAGGGAGAAGGAGAAGAGCAAGTGTTGAGGTGAGTGGGAAGGATGAGCATAGCAGCAGTGGGAGCCATGTTTTCTGGATTATACAGACACAAAGATGAAGAGAAATGTGCAGTTGAAAACTTGAAATTAGAAAGAATTCCTTCTTGATTTTATACAAAAGAAATGTCAGGAGAAAACTGGGAAATGGGGAAGGAAGGAAGAGACCGTGTGGTTTATTGAGGAAGCAGTGGGTAGAATGAAGGATTTTTGGTGGGACTATCTTTGCGAAAAGGAAGGAAGCTGTGTGCCCGTGGAAACTGTGGGCGGGGATGGAACCCAGATATGGTTGCTTGCCACGTGTTGCTGACCTGGACCTTCCTACTTCACCCCCACCTCAAACACATGATTTAGCTCGTGGCGGGGGCAGAAACGAGAACAAAGCAGGACTGGAGCACGTGTCGGGAGCGTTCTTCCAGGAATGAAAATTATTACACACGATGATAAGTTACGGTATTGTTTTATGAAAAATACTAAGTTACAGTATTTTGCTCATATATTGATATTTATTTTAATTAAAATAATTTGGTAAACAAATCTTTCATTATGAACACAATAGTAGTAAAAAAAATTCAAACAATGATACAAAGCTATATCATTATATTTTCATCCCCCAATCTCCAAATGATGTTGACGTTGATGTCGAGTTTTGGCATGCAAGTCAAAATGCAGGACTAAAACCATTTAATTGTGAAACCATTTATTTTTGGGCTAATTAATAACAAACCCTTTTATTTTGTGCAAAATAATAGTCAAACCTTTTGAAATATAATTTGATAGTCATTTTCCTTGAAATCACTACCAGAGTTAATTTTTGTTTAATAAAAGAAGATACTTCCTTAGCAGCACAACACTATCAAGGCTCCCACAAAAGAAATGACGTTTTGAAAGATTACATCTAAGCCTGACAGATTACAGCCAAAGTAGTAAAAAAAAGCGCATTTCTATGTAGATGCATTTTGGTGATCTGGAAGTTTAAAACTATAAGTTTTTAAATTTTAAACTACAGTTTTTAACTACATTAGTTATAAAAAAAACTGTGAATAACTGAATATGCGTAAAAGCGTTTTGGTGACATAGAAGTGTAACAGCATAAATTGTTAAGCTTTAAATCGTGATTTTGACTACACTGATTGCGATAATCACCCAACACTTTGCCATCAACAAAACACAAGTTAGCAACAACTAAGGCTTTCACATATGAAAGAATGGAATGAACCCTAAAAGGTGATCACCCTTCTTAAGCTCTCTCTTTGCTTTAAAATAGCCACATAACCCACCATTCAGAGCTGAAATGATAAAGAGTGTATAAATACAATACAAGCCCGGATTAACTGAACAAAATCTCTAGGAAATCCCATAGCAAGTGATCTGTGGTAGTACATAGTCAAATTTAACTAAGTTGATACGAAAGCTACTGAAATCATGTTCTTGGGCCTTGTGAGTGATCCAAACAGTTTATTACACCGAATCAAGAGTTGTATCAAGATTTTGCAACATCGGCTTATACTAAAATAAGATGAAATCAATATAAAGGAAATAGCATAGAAGCAAATAAGTAATAGAATTAAGATGTTTGTACCATCTTGCTCCGGTATGAACAATGATATTTGTTGGTGTGGGGTTGACTCACGATCCGTTCGTCTGATCTCGTCGGGAGAGAAGGAACCTGTGAAAGAGCCGGGGATGCCCCCCGGATTAAGCTCCGACGATCAAGTTAGTTTAAGTTTTCAGGAGAGAGTTCAGAGAATAAGGTGGAGAGATAAGGTGTAGAGAGATAGTGGAAAGTAACAAGTCAGGAGAGAGGGGAAGTCCTTTTCTTTGGAGGCTTGAAAGCCCATATATAGACGTGGTGGGCACTGTTTGCGCGGGAGGTTGGGCGTCATCGCTAGTGCGGATGCTAGTGCACCTCAATGCTGGTGCACTAATACTTAGTCTCATTTTAGCATGGGTGTCACCACTAGCGCGGATGCTAGTGCACCACAATGCTAGTGCACCTCAATGTTGGTGCACTACTACTTAGTCTATGCAATACGAGCTTAGTAACACCCCCAACAATTGCCCCCCAAGCTGGTGATGAGTTTTAACTCATCTCTAGCTTGTTCTATTGTTTTTTTTTGTCAAGCACTCTTGATGGGGCCCATGTACCCCTAGTTGCCCCCCAACTGGTATCGCGTCAACATGACGTGTTGCCAGTTTTACGCCCTTTGCCCCCCAGGTGGTGAATTTCACTAAGGCGTTGAGCACTCGCTGTTTGGAGATTCTTCAATGCCATGTGCTCTCTTTTATATAGTGCGTTTGTGTAAAGTGCATTTTGAGTAGCCGCGCGTTATGAATGGAGGTAATCGATCACTCCTATATTGAAGATTCACCAATGCTCTTGTCGAAGACTTGTTTGTGTGTTGCAGTCGAGACTTTCATGAATGGAGATACCAATGCTCTTGTCGAAGGCTTATTTGTGTGCTTCAGTCGAGGCTTACATGAATGGAGATACCAATGCTCTTGTCGAAGGCTTATTTGTGTGCTTCAGTCGAGGCTTACATGAATGGAGATACCAATGCTCTTGTCGAAGAATTATTTGTACACTTCTGTCGAGGCTTACATGAATGGAGATACCAATGCTCTTGTCGAAGGCTTATTTGTGTGCTTCAGTCGAGGCCTACATGAATGGAGATACCACTGCTCTTGTCGAAGAATTATTTGTACGCTTCTGTCGAGGCTTACATGAATGGAGATAATCGAGGTGCGAGATGTGGTCATATTTTCCTTGTGGTGCCCATAGATCTCTTGGTGTGTCACGTCTTCAATAGCATCATAGTCATAGTAGTCAAATATTTAAAATTAAATGTCGTGTAGAAGTGGAGTACTTAGCTTATGTCGGAGCGACAGGAACAATCAATAAAACTAGGGCGCCACGCACTGATACATAACCAGGCATTGTGGCACAGTGGCTCGCAGTCTTGTTTGATGATGATGGGGCGCGGGTTCGAATCAGCTGTGAAGCCTTTTTTTGCTATTGACTTAGTGGGCGGTCTTGTGGTGCGGCTCTCTGTTGCGCGGACCAAGGGTTTGAGGCGGAATGGATGGCGACGTGGGCCGGACGTGGAGGAAGGTGGGCCGTGAGTTGCTAGTTGAAAAACCGCGGGACGAGAAAGATAGTGACGTGGGCTGCGAGCCCAATGGCATTGGCCGGAGCTGTCAACTCTGGAAGCGTTTGCAGGCCGCCATTTTGGAGTTGGAGCGGAGTTTAAGTGTTGACGTGGATGGAGTGATAGCTGGCGGTGGCTTCAAAGGCGGCTTTGAACTTGACGCGAAGCTTAAGTGGGATGAAAAGGGCTGCAACCGGACTGGGAGGCGGGCTTTTCGTGAACAATCAGAAACATCGACAACTAGCTTTGACCTTCCTCCCTTCTCTCATATTCTTTATCTTGAGCAAATTATCTCGGCGGCCGGGAAGGAGAATAAGCGCGGCCGCCAAAGAGCGCAACGACAGGATGCGTGAGGAGATTTGATGAGAATTGAGATAGAGGCATATTGTTTCCCGGTGTGTCGCGGCTAGCAATTAGCAAAGAGGAAGGCGCTTGAAGCCGTAGTGCGTTGACGCAGATCGAGGCAGGTACAAGAGGTCAGAACAGGCGAAGAAGCTAGAACGCGGATCGAAACCACCGGTAAATATGGCTTGTGGGAAACAGAGGGACGCGTCTTGTTGAGCAGCTGTTAATGAGCCGGGTCTTCTCAAGCTGGCTGTTAATGAGAGCCGAGCAAGGCTCTTTTTCTTGTGGCAACTCTTAACATTGTGGCGGACGCCGCCGCTCAATCGGAAGTGCAATGGAAGTGAGGCGGATTGCGCTATGGCGGATCCGGTAATTTTGTGGGAGTTGATGTAGGTTGCTGGAAATTGCTGTTGGAGGAATGACGACAATGGAAGTTGTCGTTGAATGACCGCTGCCGCCGCTTAAGGAGGGAGACGAGGAGCAGAATTGGAAGCGCGATGCCCCGGTCAATGAGAGCGGGGTTAGGCGGACAAAGTCGATTACGCCGAGGAAAGATATTGATACGACGGCCGCGCAGCGGTAATTGATGTCATTGATTGGCGCCGCCGGTAAGAGCAGATGCAGGTGCGGAGAAAATAGACAGCGCGGGTAGGCGCGATCGCGCCGTTGTTTTAGAAAGAAGCTCCTCCAAGGAGACACGGAGGGCGCGCTTTCATCTTTGTCGCCTCCGTCTCCTTGCTCGCAAGTCGCAACCCTCTTTGCCGCCTTGCTGGGTTTCCAGCCTGTCATCGAAAGGTTTTGTCTCGAAAACTTCGCCCTGCTGACCGGGGACATCGTTCGTCCTCTTAAGTCTGACAGGGAGACGTGGTTGAAAGACAACTGTCACATCTGGTCTTTGGGAAGATTGAAAAAGGGTGATGGGACAAGAGCTTGACGATGGTGACTGGTGAGAGCCGAGTTCTCTCTCTCATCCGAGCTCCGGTACCGCTAACACTCCGACCAGCAGAGTGGCCGGAATCTGGACAGGATTTCTACTTTCAGCTCTTCGTTGTTTTGTCTTCCTGGAACGCCCCCCAACCCTGCCGATTCATTATTTCCTTTCCTTCTTTCACCCTTATTTTTTGGCATGTTTCATCGTACTAATTTTCTTCGACGTCGGCGGTGGTTTCCTCTTCTCTTTGTCGAGGTTTCCGAAGTTTTCGTTTGCACAAATCTACCATTTTCCCCAGAAATCAGACAAACGTCTACATGAATCAGCCCCACGGTGGGCGCCAATTGTTTGTACCATCTCGCTCCGGTATGAACAATGATATTTGTTGGTGTGGGGTTGACTCACGATCCGTTCGTCTGATCTCGTCGGGAGAGAAGGAACCTGTGAAAGAGCCGGGGATGCCCCCCGGATTAAGCTCCAACGATCAAGTTAGTTTAAGTTTTCAGGAGAGAGTTCAGAGAATAAGGTGGAGAGATAAGGTGTAGAGAGATAGTGGAAAGTAACAAGTCAGGAGAGAGGGGAAGTCCTTTTCTTTGGAGGCTTGAAAGCCCTTATATAGACGTGGTGGGCACTGTTTGCGCGGGAGGTTGGCGGTCATCGCTAGTGCGGATGCTAGTGCACCTCAATGCTGGTGCACTAATACTTAGTCTCATTTTAGCCTGGGCGTCACCACTAGCGCGGATGCTAGTGCACCACAATGCTAGTGCACCTCAATGTTGGTGCACTACTACTTAGTCTATGCAATACGAGCTTAGTAACATCCCCCAACATAAGATTATGCATAATCATAAGCGATCATCCATATTACATTTCCCCTAATATCATGAACTTATCTCTTTGATACGGGATTTCTAGGTTGGTCTTTCTTAGGTGTTTAGCATATCATATGTCTAACAAATATTAGATTTGATCAGCTATGATGGGTTTGCATATTTCTCTCTTGATGATCTCGGGTCGTCTAATGGTTTGGCGATCGATTGTGAGAGATGGCACAACCCAGTATTGTCCACCACATATAATATTTGATTCTATCAACACGCGGGAAGATAGCTTCGATGAAAGAAAATAATTCATTAACAAAAAATATCCATAAATATCAATTGAACATCCCATAAACGAAATCAATTCATCATCCACAGGAGTCTACATAATGTGAATAATCTAAAAGTTTACATGTAAATAAATACAAAGGAATAGAAAAATACATAACGAGGAGATATTGCCATAGTGATTTCCTTATCTAATCTTGACTTTCCTCTCCGTTTCGAGGTTTGCTTTTTCAGTTCATATATTTGTAGCTAGACCCTCCTACACCACTTCCTCGGAGTTTGATGAAGCCTCACGATGGCATAAATTTTAAGATAGATAAAGTAGGATAGGAAATAGAGGAATTATTCATTCATTCATTCATTCATTCATTCATTCTAACCACTACTGTGGAGCTCACTTAGTAATTAATCCCGCTAGTTCGTTCATTTGGCCGATGCTGATTACTTCCCTAGATTGACTAACTCGATATTTCTACAGCCGAGAGTTCTAGGACATATTGGTCTCCCAATTCAACTTATCCAAACTCGCTCAATTACACAATCGTAGAGGCGTACCATACAATCGACCTAGGCAATTGAGATATTCACAACTAACTCCCACGATCGAACAAAACCCAATACGCTAGTATGAACCCAATCACACTTGTTCATAGACACACAATGCTCAATTGGTAGTGCTCTATACAAGCTGGTGAGGGAGATATTCTCTCTCATAGGTAAAAGGCCCCAAATTAAATTGAGGGATGAGATCAAGAGCCAACAAATTCATGAAATACTCAATTCAATAGAGAATCGCAATCATAGGGTTTGCCACAAGCATCAACATCCAATCCAAAATCTAGAACTAGGGTTCATAAAATCTAAGTGCAGAGGGCTAACTCATAGAGAAGAGAGAGTATACCGTAAAATTCTCAAAATCTTCAATCTTCATTCTAGACTTGATTTTCTAGCACCAATGATGATCCAAGCCACCAATTCAGTCCCAAGATTACTCAGGATCACTCACTCGCTCTCTTTCTCTTTGTAGAAATTGTACCTTGGGTGTTGCATGAATAGTTGTCACATTTGTGACATTTAACACTTCACTACAAAAAAACAGTCAAGTATGACCAGATTCTTGGCGACAGAAAATACCATATTTTTGTTGGAAAATACATTTTACGACGAAATACGGTCGTTGGTCGTCATGGGAAAAAGTCTCATCGCAAAAGATAAAAAACAAGGGCATTAAAAAAGCTTTTTGTGACGAATATTTGTCATTTAAAAACCAAATATCGTTGTCAAAAATAACTTATACTTTACGCTAAAAATTGTTGAAGTTTATTTGTTAGAGAGAACTTGTTTTTATTTACAAAAAAATGTCATCAGAAATAATAAATTTTCTTCCCGAAATACCTTGTACTTTTTTTACGATAGCTCCCATAGAAAAAAGATCAAAATTTTAATTCTGACAACACCCTTTAATTACTTCCGACTAGGGTGTGATGTCGGCAAAAAAAATGCCTTGATAATAAAAATAAAATTTGAATTCCGATAATACCCTTTGATTATTTCCAATGAGGGTGTGATGTCGGCAAAAATAATTCCTCGATAATAATTTTTTTTATGATGGAACTCATTTCGTTAAGAATATAGCATTTCTCTTTCCAAAATACCATTTTTATTATTTTTTTATGACAGTGTGGCATAAGAAACATTCATTAAAATGGGGACAAATTTGCATTTCCAAAAATCTTTTCCAACGATCACACAGAGAGTGTGAGTTCTCAGAGTTTATTAATGATGATGATTCTTGATTAGGGTTCGGCTAAACTGAAACCCTCTAATATATACTGCCACTCTCGTACAACAATTAACAAGAGTAGTGGCAAATTACATTACGACCTCTAATCTATTGAACACGACAAATAAGGGTAAGACTAGATTGAGGATGAAGGGATTGGCTTCCTAGCCGCCGTCATGGAGGATTTAGATCTCAAACCTCGCTCTAGCTCGTCGTCTTTGGTCTAGAGGAGGGATTAAAGGGATGGCCGGTTTTCCCCATTGCTAACTGGCGAGCATTGTTGTCGACGATTCCTTTTCCAGCTTTTCTCTCCTCAACCGATACCTCCACCAAAAAACCCAGAACGCAAACCAAAAGGGTTAGAACACTAAAACACCCCCTAAACAAGTATTGAACAAAAAAAATACATGCATTAACCTTACCTCTGTAGCCATCATCACTGGCGCCAGTCCGTGCCGTCGACCTCACGTTCCTTTCTTCTTCCTCCTCGTCATTACCAGATTAGAGAAAGGTGAAGCCAGATCTAGAGAGGGAAATGAGATTTTGATTTCTGTTTATCACAAAGAGGCAGCGACAGATCGAGAAAGATAGAGTTTCATTTTGGTTTTTTTTCTTTGTTTTGTTTGATCTTCCAAGCAGAGAGAACGAAAGAGAGAGGTGAGGTTGATTGACCTTGAATGTACTGGCATCATTGTTTCCATATCTGTCGGCATTCATCGCCGTCGTGCCCTTCGATGATGCCACTCTTTCGGCTCTCTTCAATTTCATCTTTGACAAAAGAGAAGGGAGGGAGATTAGGTTAGATTGAGAAATAAAAAGAGGCAGATTGAGTCATTTTTTAGAAGATATGGAGAGGGGGAGAAGGATCTTTGCTTGATCTGGAAAGGGGACAAAAAGAATGGATCGAAGAGAATGAGAGAAGGATGTGATCCTTAGCAACAACAAATATCTCATACCACATTGGACCTCTTTGTAAAAGTTTTAAAAGTTTATGTAGTAAATTGCAAAAATAAAAATTTTTGGGTACCAAAATGTAATTTTAGCATAAAATTTAAGGACTTATTTGTAAAAAAATAAATTTTAGGTACTAAATTGTAAGAAAAAATAATTTTGGGTACCAAAACGTAATTTGTATAAAAGTAGTGTGTAGATTAGGGTCGACCCACTGACCCGTCCCGACTCGTCCCATCCCTTAATGGTCAGACAATGTCAAGAAGGAAACAGGGATAGAACGAGTCAGTTATACATCTTGACCCTTCAGGGATGGGTCAGATAGGGTCAGGGACGAAACAAGGACGAGTCAGGGCAATTTTCAACCCTAACCAAGATGATGGGGCATGATTTGGCATAGCCACAACAAACAATGGGGAGTCCCTTAATGGAGTATACAAGGGCTTCGTGCTATGTACATTTCAACTCTCATTGTTGGTAAAACACTTTCATTAGCAATGTTTTATGTCAAATCGAACATTTTGGAGAATAAACCATAAATTTGGGTATTTGAGAAATTTAATTTAGTAACTAGGATAATCTGAAAAGAATCCAAAACATAGGGAACAATTGAGATAAATCCTAAATTATAGGTGCTTTTTTGGTATTATGCATCAAATGTAATAAAGTATAAAAGTATAAAACCATAAAAGGTAAAACTGGAAAATATCAAAAACAGCAAAAAGGGGATTGAGAGGACGGAGAAAACTACTTAGCTTCCACAGGGCCAAGCCAGTAGATACCAATTGGCCGTCTCTTTCATTTCCCGAGTTTCACTGCAGTTGGTATACTATTGTATTGGTTTGGATCTTTCCCCTTCATTTCCTACACTCTCTCAATTGCAGCAAGAAGGAATTTCATGAAACCCACTGGTAATCGTAGTCCCGGGAGAAAGCGGCCGATAAGATAAAGTCCTCCACAATCCTCACACGCCCACTCTTTACCCGTTCCGGAGTTCCCAATTCCCACTCCCGAATTCAATTTTCTCGTTCAATCAGTCGCCGTCACTCTCTCTTTCTAGGTACAGCTCGACTTATTAATTGTTCTGTTCCTGTCTTTCTTTTCTTGCGAGTTGGAATGCCGGGCTTTTGCTTGCTGGATCTGATGCTGAAAGTTAGGCTCTTCGTCAATGGTTTGGATTTTGATACTTCAGTCTGAGTTGAGGTTTCTGGGTTCGATTTTAGTATTATCGCTCTTGGTGGTGAACTGGGGAAGTAATGAAAGAAAGGGTTTGATTTCACCCACTAGGGTTTAGATTGGTACTTCCAGTCCCTCTGCATGTTTTGCCTTTGGAATTTTTAAGGGGTTTCTTCTGAGGTGTGGTATGTAGTTGGTCAAAATATACGCGTCGCTCTACTTTCTCTGATGGAAAGCGCCATTCTTTTACATTTACTTTTGCTACTACTAGAAGTAACGAGCTTAGTATTGTGGTTACCTGTAAAGCAGTTTAGGTTCAAGAACGTAACCAAGTCCGAAGATTAGAGCCAACGTTTGTTCGATTCTGCAATGCTTTATTACTTCCCAACTCAGAGTCAGAGACGGGGACTTCTATACATGCCAGAAGATGGTGGAAAATGAAAGCCGCTAGAAACCCTCTGCCCTGTTACTTGTTATCTTCTTGGATGTTCTTTTTTGCAATTTCCACCGTTTCTGCACCATTTAAGGTAGCGTCTTAAAAGAGACTAGGCTCTTATAATGTAAGTGATCATTTCTTTCTTGAAAAGCAGTATCATCGTTCTCACGAACTGATGAGTCTATGTTGGTATATGAGTGTTTGAAAAGATCACTCTTAGTTTAGTTTGTCAAGTGGATCTTCCTTGTCTTCAGATAAAGAATCGATTTGATAGATGCCCTTTCCTTATCTTCTTGTGTTTGATGGCTCGGATGTGAAGTGGCTTACTAATGTGCATTTCAGGTGTATACAAACTCTCCGTGATGTTGCTTCTGTATCTTTTTCCCAACCAGTCGTCTTTTTTGTAATATTTTTTTAATAGGTGTCTTGTTTTGTTATGATCAAGGTTCACCTCTCATTGAAAGTTAGGGGTTTGATATGGGATCAAGTAGGCCGTTGTTTGTTGCTAATGCAGAGCTAAAATCTTAGGACAGAACATAAAATGGGCAAACTGTGGTAGTCTGAAGTGAAAATGGTTAATTAATTATGACATTATGATTGATTCAACTGTTTTTATATCAACATGCAGGGAGGAGAAGAGAGTTGTGAATTGGAAAATTCAGAATGATAAAAAGGTTTCCAAGTAGAAATTCTAGGTCCAAAGGAATCAAGGTGAAGCATGTCTTGCAGATTTGCCTGTTGCTTGGTGTCTGCTTCTGGTTAATATACCAGGTCAAGCATTCCCATGATAAGAAAAATGAGTTCGATGGTAAAGATGCAAAAGTTTCCACCACTACTAGAACACACGTTCATGATAATGAGATTCTAAAGTTGGGGAGGAAAGACCTGCATCCTCGTGTGGATGATGTGGCTAAGAATGAGAAAGCGGCTGAAGATGAAGACGAAGAAACGGTTCCAGAGGAGGAAATCATCAATGGGGTAGGAGACAATAAGCATGCAGAAGAGCTAGAGCAAGAACTCGAACTTACTAAGCACGAAGAAGAGGAGCGAGAAGATGTTAGCAAGCATGAACAGGAAGAAGAAAGGGGTGATGATGATGACGATGACGAGAACAACAAGGGTGACATGGAAGAGGAAAAGAAGGCTGAAGAGACTGAAGTAGAAAGCAGAGCTGCTGGCGATGATGAGTTAGATGAACATGATCAGGATAAACTGGATGGAGAAAGTGTAGAGGAAGATCTATTAGATGAGGAGAAAGAGAAAGGGAGAGAGGATGATGATGCAAAGGAGGGTGAAGTTAATAAAGAAGAGGACAAGGAGGTCCATGCCACTTTACCTGAAGATGAGGATCATGAGGACGGAAGCCAAAACTCCCATGAGGCCCGTGAGGAGAACTACAAAGGAGATGACGCTTCAAGTGCTGTTACTCATGATGAAAACACCGGTGGAAAGGACAAAATAAATGATCTTCAGGTAAATGAAGTTGCTAATAATAATAGAACTGGGAATGCCAATGAGATAATTCGAACAAACTCAACATTGCAGCAGGAACAGGGTGACATGGCTGCTAATAACTCTCGTCAGGAAGATGAAGTTGCCAATAGTAGTGGAACTGGGATTGCCGATGACATTATTAAAACAGACTCAACATTGCAACAGGAACAGGGTGACATGGCTGCTAATAACTCTCGTCAGGAAGATGAAGTTGCCAATAGTAATGGAACTGGGATTGCCAATGACATTATTAAAACAGACTCAACATTGCAGCAGGAACAAGGTGACATGGCTGCTAATAATTCTCGTCAGGAAGATGAAGTTGCCAATAGTAGTGGAACTGGGATTGCCAATGAGATTGTTAAAACAGGCTCAATATTGCAACAGGAGCAAGGTGACAAGGCTGCTAATAACTCGGCAAGTGTGTTGTCCGGTGGTGAACAGACGATTAAGGACGAGAGGATCATCAATCTGCCTAGCTCAGAGAACCAGTCAACTACAAATGTGTTGGCGGTTGGGAATGTAAAAACTGGGAACAAGAATACCACGGGAGATACTGCTTCACTGGCAGCAGCTGTGTCTGATTCTACATCTGAAGAAAATGCAACATCTGGAGGCTTAGCAATTGGAGGATTATCCAACCGGGATTCCACTGAAGCCGAAAAGATCAACTACGATGAGACCGTCTCTGGTAACGCTCTGTCCTCCAACTCGAATAGCAACTTAGAATCTGGTGTTGATCAGGCAGTCAGCAAAGATGAGACAACAGGTGAAGCAGAAGGGGTGAAACCTGGGTTGCCAATCACACATTCTGGCGTTAGTCATGGTGGGACGTCAGAGGAGAACAAGACCGAATCACGCCACAACGGTAACCGTGGGATTGAAGGTGGCGTTAGGCACGATCCTATCGATTCTTCTGATTCTTCAGTTGGTCAAGAAGAGAACTCAGGGTTTGGGACAAATGTAGGAGTTGGCAACCAGACTGTTGCAGCGGAATGATTTAGTTGAGCAAACTCAAGAGTCCTATGTGACCAACCGTTGCACTGACTTTTCTCTTATCACCCGGGTTTTATAGTAGTTCCGTTTTGGGTAACAGCGAGTCCAGCTCAAGGTATAGAATATCCATCAAATGTTAGACTGGAGAATACGAGTTTAGTTGCTCTTCAGTGAGAGTTAGGAAACTGGTGAACGAGTTTGTTTGGTTTTTCCTCCCTTTTTATTGTATAATCCATGCCCTCTTGTCAACTGGATTGATTTCCTTCCAAGTCATTCTGTTTCCCCTTTCCAGAATCCCTTGTGCGTAACTGGCCGAAACTGTGAATGGAATGGACGAAGGCTCACTATACAGCATTCTTGATTCCATCCAACAAAGCACAAACTTTTACAAACCCAAACAATAGTGTTTCCGAGCGAACAAAAATTATAAATAACCAGACATCGAGGGTTCTGAAAACAAGAGAAACGAAAAGAACAACTCATACAGCAAGCTGAATATCACCAACATCGAGCTGGGCAGCGATCTCCTCCAACTGCTTCTTGACGCTCATGTCAATCAACTTGGAACCAGAAGGGCCATACCTAACAGTGAACCCAGCAACCAAACTAGGCTCCAGCGAGGTCTTGATCCTAACATTCTTAGCTCCAGTAAGCTTCTGAACCTGCTTGGCAATCTGGGCCAAGTGCTGGGACTCCAACTTCACCACCGAGCTCACCACCGCCAGCTCCGTCTCGGTCAACCGATTGTACAGGGCCTCGAACTCTCTAACAATGTCGGCCACCAAATCCACCCGCTTGGCCTCGATTAGGATGTTGAGGAAATTGGCCATGTAAGGCTGGAGAGCCGACGACTCGGCGATCTCGTCCACTACTTGCCGCTTCTTCTCCAGGTCGATTATTGGGTTGGAGAAGAAGCCCAGGACCCCTGGTTCCGAAAACATCTTCTCGAGCTTCTCCATGTCGGCGCAGGTGGCCTCCAGCGAGTTGTTCCCCTTGGCCACGTCGAGGATGGCGGTGGCGTAGCTGCTTGCGGCGGTGGCCGACATCCTGGCGCCGGCTGCGCTTCCACCGGAGGAGCGGCCGCGGTTGTGGGTGGCGAGTTTGAGAGAGGGGAAAGTGGATGAGAAGGAAACGGTGAAAGGGGTTTTGGATTGTTGGGTTGATGGGGAGAAGTTGGAGCAGAGATTGATGGAGATCGGGTTGTTCCGCAGAGACGCCATTGCTGCCTCACCTCTCTGTCTGGAGGTTCCCGAGGGTTAGCTCGGAGGGTACACGAGTAGAAGAAAGGAAATTGAGAAATCGAAAGAGGAACTCTTTGAGAGGCTGAAGATTGAAGAATGAGAACCAAATGGTCGGCAATAGGTATGCAAAGTTGGGATTTTGGATTACCTTTGGGTGGATGGTATTGGCGATCGTCACACCCAAACACCCAAGACTTATCTACATTTTAATCGACTACTAGTGGATATCAAATTCACCATTTTCATTAAAAGGGTCAGATTCATTATAAAAAAATCAGCATATTTCTACCAAAATAACAGATGATCTATTTTTCAAGCAATGTATTAGATGTGTGTGTGAAAAACTTCATTAAAAGGGTCAGATTCATTATAAAAAAATCAGCATATTTCTACCATAATAACAGATGATCTATTTTTCAAGCAATGTATTAGATGTGTGTGTGAAAAACTTCGATTAACTAATAAATGAGATTCATAAGAGTGTATGAAAAAAAATAGAACATATGCATGAATATAAGTAGATTTGTGTGAATAATTAGGAGTGTGTGAAAACTTAGGCCTTCTCCAGTATTATTTTAAGTTCTTAGTTTCTATTTTCACATTCTTGTTTCGTTATGTTTTCATCTGCTGTTGCGATAACAAGAGTTGCCAACACAACATAAATTAGCTGAAACTGGTGAAATAATTTGAAGTAGTTTTTGTATTGTTTCCAAAAGCGGGTTTTTGTGGGATCCTATAAGTTGTTGGAATAATTTCGTTCATATGATCATATCTCATTAGATAGGGATGACAATTTCGACCCGACCTGTTTGCCCTGTTTTGGGGCGGGGCGGGGCGGACATGGGTACTCTCATCGACCCGATCTGCCCTGACCCGCCCCATTCTCGACCTGTTCTTGCCTAAATTATATGTAATCTTAGTCAAATTACTTAGAATTTTTCTTTTATTACATCATAATTTAGCTATAATAAAGTTGTAAATGAGTGAAAACCTCAAAAGTAATTTGACTAAGATTACATATAATTTAGCTATAATAAAGTTGTAAATGAGTGAAAACCTCAATTTCTCTCATAATTTAACTAAATTTATCATAATATTGTTTGTTTTCTTGGTCTTATAATAAAAAAATGAATTTCTTTAATGTTTTTCATATAAATTGCATACCCATTGAGTCGACCTGCCCCCGACCTGCGACCCGTGATAAATTAAAATTACCCGACCTGCCACAGGGTGGGTCTGGGTACCAAGAAACCTGCCCCAGACCTGTCCCATTGCCATTCCTATCATTAGACCCAATGTCTACACTTTTCCTCCTCCTATAATTATCACTTTCTATTAAGCTCTCTTGATGAACTCGATCAAGCATCCCAAAAAACATGGACAGAGTTCACAAAGTAGACCACAATAGGTCTAATCACTACTACAATAAACCACTAAAGGAGGGTAGACTTTGCACCTCTTCCCGAAATACATTCTGACCTAACAAAAATAGCAAAAAATCTTGCTTAAATTGAACAAAAAGCGTTGGCCAATAACTATGACAACCACCAAATACTCGCTTGCATTGCTCCTTCCAGAGAAGACTGACCGCCCAGCACCAACTTGCAGCAAACACTCGTCCATATGCGCCACCCTTCTTCAATTCAACACACGTTATGAGCAGAAATACCTCCCAATCTCGAGGCCAATTATGCACTTGTCGGCCAAAGACAACTTCACAGAATTGCATAGAATACTGGCAAGCACAAAAAAATGGGTTTTGCTTCCCTTTGCTGTTACAAATACGGAACCGACACTCGTAGTTATCAAATTAACGCAACCTCAATCTTTTAGGGTTTTCTAAACTTTTCTCAGCAACACGAAAAATTAAAGGATAAAAAGGCGGATTGAAGTGCAATCTCACATTTCGGAGAAGGCTCTATCAATATAAGGGTAGAATCTCAACCACAATCAAGTGAAAAACTTGATGGATATAGAGAAAATTCACAAGGCTAAAGCTGCTGACCTAAAACTCATGTTTAAGCCTTTATATAGGCTAGAGAAACAAAAAACTAAACAAAACCGGAAAAGGAAAAGAAACCAAAACACAAGAGGTAAATTCATTCGCCAGCCCCGATCCCCGTTCGGGGTTTAACCTAACTCCCCAGGGGTCATTCTGTTTGTGATCCCTGGTCTCCCACATAATTCCCTAGTCGGGGAATTTAGCAATTCCGCCGAAGGGGGAAATCATATAAGCTTGTGGGCTTCTGCAAGAAAAATCATAATCACAATAGTAGTAAAAAGGATCGAAATAAGCCATATGCTCCTTTTCCACCAGTCCATCTCGTAGAAATCTCCATCTTCCTTCTATTGTTCAGGAGTGCCTGATGTTGGAGAAACCTCTTCGTTGTCTACAGGGAACTCGCCAGAAGCGGTGGCATTCTTTGACTCGTCCTCTAGCTCAACCTCGAATCCATCATAACTCGAACTCTGTTACACCAACGAAGGACAAGGGCGACTGTCATTGGCGGGCTTCAACTCATCCAATCGCCAAAGAATCTTGTCAAATTGAAATTGAAAGGTTGCATTAAATTGTACCGTAATGGTCTATAACAGTTTTGAGATATTAACATGAATATGCTGCTCCGCCATTCTTTGTTATTTGTATGAGATTCTTCCTCTAACAAATAATCCTCCTATGCAATGTGGTTCAATATGGGGTCTTTTGATCTTGTACAAGATGAAACATGTCATCTCGCCTTCATTCTCACCACTGTGTTGAACCGTAGCTCTGATACCACTTAATACGAGCATGGAACTGGCACCCGTAGTTATCAAAGTATCGCAGCCTCAGTCTTTGTAGGGTTTTCTGAACTTATCTCAACAACACAAAAAACTAAATAAAGGCGGAATTGAAGTGCAATCTAACACCTGGGAGAAGGCTCTATCAATATAAGGGTATAATCTCTTTTTTGATGAATTAGATTCTTTCTATTTCATCAAAGAAAAGGGGATGTTGGAAACAACCTTCCCAGCTAGGTATCCCTATAGAACAGGGCAAAAGAACAAATAAACCGCATACAAAATCAACTATAGCTAAACTATAACACCTCGGGTAAGACTATCCAATCACAAAGAAGCAGCATTGCCAGAGTTCTAGAATTTGGCAGCTTCCTCCTCCTGCAACATCACCTGAATTTCACTCCTGATTACCTTCTTCAAACCTTCCACACTTCTGTTTGTCCCTTCAAAGACTCTAGTGCATCGTTCTCTCCATACATGACTGATCATTGACTGCCACACAATTCTCCCATGTCCTGCATCCGTCCCTTTCTTCCCAAACTTTCGAGTTGCCCACTACAACCCATCCTCCCAGTCCCTTGGTAAGAATTCAGAAAACCCCCCCCCCCAACAGTTCATGAAATAGCTTCCTAAAAAACTCACATTGCGCAAATAAGTGGTCTCTGCTTTCTGGTTGCTGATTACAAAGACTGCATAAGCCTGAACCTGCAAATCCCCATCTCTTCATTTTATCCTTAGTATGAATCCTATCCTTAATGATAAGCCATACCAGGAATCTATTTCTGGGAATAGAAGGAGCCAACCAGACCAGCCCAACCCATGAAACAGAACTTAGTTTAGGTCTTAGTGACTCCCAAAACATTTTCACAGAGTACCTTGGCATCACAGAGTTATTCCAGTAAACTTAGCCATCAGGGAAATTTCCCAACTAATACCCAAATCGAGCAGCCCTAACACCCATCTCATCCTTTTCCATTCCTCCAAAATAAACCTCACATTTACTTGGATTGGACTTTAAGCCAGATAAGTGATAAAACTCATTCAACACATTCTGCACACTCTGCAAACCACGATTGGAACCGTCCGAGAACACCAAGAGATCATCCGCAAAACATAAATGAGTCAATCTGACCTTTTTGCACATTGGATGATAAGGGAAATAACCCCTCTCTGCTTCTCTATCCAAAAGACAGGTGAAGACCTCCATATCAACCACAAACAGATATGGAGACATAGGGTCTCTCTGTCTTAACCCTTGCCTAGAAGGGAAATATCCTGTCAACCCTTCATTAAATGATATGCTTAACATAGGCTCAGTAACACACATTCTGATCCAATTAATAAACTCAACTGGAATCCCCATAGCTTCAAGCACATTAAACAGAAATTGCAGTTAACAGAATCAAACGCTTTCATTAGATCAATTTTAAGAGCTGATCTATATGAAACATTCTTTCTAGCATATTTTGAAACCAGTTCATGATCTCTAACAAGACATTTTCACCAATCAGTCCCCCTTTAACAAATGCACTCTGATTCTTACTAATAAATAAGGGTAGCAGAGCACTAAACCTCTTAGAAATGACAAGCATTTATAAATTGTATTGCAGCATGAAATAGGCTTGAAAATTTTCATTTCCTCAGGTTTAGGAACCTTTGGTATCAGAGCAAGTATAGTTGAGTTTACCTCCTTGGGTATCTGCTTTGTAGCAAAGTAGTATTGCACTGCCATAACAATATAAGCACCAACAGTCTCCCAAGCGTATTGAAAGAACCGAGCATTATAACCATATGGCCCTGGAATTTCGTCCCCCTTCATACCAAACATTGCTTCTTTAACCTCCAACTAAGTTACAATGAAGTAGTCTGCAAGTGGTTAACTGTCTGCTTGAGAATTGACTGAAAAAATTCCACACTGCCCCCATTAACATCTGCATTTACCTGACCCAACAGCTTCTTATAAAAACTCACTGCCACCTCAAACATATCCTCCGCCCTAGTTACCCTTTCTCCATTATCAGCATTCAGGCTAGTGATAGTGTTCCTTTTCTGCCTTGTTCTCACAGATCTATGAAAGTTGTTAGTATTAGAATCACCCCCTTTCAACCATATTTCTCTTGACTTCTGCCTCAAGAAAGATTCTTCTGCCTTAAGTAAAGTATGCACTTCCCTTGCTAATTGTGCCTCCAACCCAGCCAAATCAGGAGAAGGATCAGCTAAGGTTAATTCTTGTATATCCTCCAGTTCACATTCCTTATCCTTTACCCTCTGCCTTATATCTGAAAATTCCTCTCTATTAAGCTTCTTAAGCATACCTTTTAACACTAGTAGCTTTTTATAAATTCTCCCCATAGGCGTGCCTGCTACTTCCTGGGACCAAGCCTCTTACAATAGCTCCCCAAACTTTGAATGTTCCAACCAAAAGTTGAAAAAT